TTTTTTGTTGGGTGGTGGTTGTGGTGTGATGTAGATTGTTAGTGGTGGTGGTTGATGGTAGCTGGTGGCCGGAGATTCGATAGTGGTGGTGGTTGTATTTTTGTTGGCTGTTGATTGGATCTGGTAGTGACGATTTGGTGGTGGTAATGTGGTATTGGTGTCGGTGGTGGTGGTGGTGGTGGTGCTGTCGTGGTGGTGGTGATAGTGACGGGATGGTGGTGGATTTCGCAGCGGTGAAAACGAGTGGAGGCGGTGGTGGTGGTGGTGGCGGTGGCGGTGGCGGTGGTGGCCGTGTTGAGGACGGTGGTGTGTGACCACTATTTAGTGTATGTGACTAATTATTTGGTTACATGTGACCAAGTATTAAACTGTGACGCTAAAATTTGATAACCCGTGACTTGAAAAGTAATTTGTGACCAACAAATCTTGAAACTTGTGACCAATAGATAAATCGTGACCTACAACTTTTTTTTGTGACCAATAAAATAAACTGTGACCTATAATTTGGAAATCTGTGACCAATTAATTTGGAAATCTGTGACTGTGTGACCTATAAATTTTGATCTGTGACCAACTAATTTTGAAATCTGTGACTAACGAATTAATGTGACCTATAAAATTTTTGAACTGTGACCGTAAATTGTAAATCTGTGATCAGAATGGTCATTGGAATAGTCGTCGGAATAATTAACGGAATCAGAGCAGTCGTCAGAACGGTCACCGAAGAAGAGGTGGTGGTTAGAATAGTCGCCGGAATAATTTCCGGAGCGGTATGGGCCGTGCATGAGGGTGGGTTAGTTATATTATATTAGAATTAAATATTTAATAATAAATTTATTTAATAATTTATTATTTCATAAATAAATAAAAAACCTGATTTTTGAATTTTCAAACTAGAAACCTGATTTTTGAATTGGTGTAAAGTATATACCTTATTTATGAATTTTTCCCTTTTGATTACCCACAAAACCAAATACAATTCCTAAATCCTAAATTGAAACCGGCAGCAACAGAGGACGAGGAGGGAGACTAGTGTCGGAGGAGCAACAGGGCAGCCTGCTGGTAACAAGAATCTTTTGGAAAATGAAGAGGTGGTGAGGATAGTTGCGACAAGAAGCAAGCCCCATTTTACTTCAGTTTACAACCATTACAAGGAAATAACTGGCCACTACTTGGATGAGGTAATAAAATAAAATTCAATCAATATTGCTAGTTTGCTAATTGCAATGCTACCCAGTACTCATGAATCTCCGAATTTTGCCATGATCTCTGCCAGTGCCAGCTGCCTAGTAGCAATTTGTTTTTCCTCTTTTTTTTTTTGTGATTTTGTGATTTATGAATTATGAGAAATGATAATTTATGTTATATTATTTTAATTCCTATGAGTTATGACTTATGAGTTATAATTTTGATTTGTGATTTGTGATTCTGATTTGGGGATTTAGGTTTATAGGAAATTAAGGATAAGTGAAAAAAATAATGAAGAAGATGTTGGGCTCAATGAAACCATGTGTGCAGTGTTTTTTAATTAATTTTAATTGAAAAATAAATTGGGGCATTTTGTAACATTTACATGGAATGACAATTTGACGGTTTACGTGAAAAAGGATATTTTTATAAAATTTGAGAATGAGGTAATATTGCAACGTTTTTAAAATATGAGCCTCGTAGAATGCAATTGTTTAAGTTTACAGTTACAAAGTAGGGTTGTATTTTTTTTATTTTTTTTTAGTATTATGGGTTGTAATGAATTATATTTTCATATGTATATACTTTTTAAGTTTTAGTGCATTTACATATGTATTGAATTATATTTTTGGTTACTACGATCGTTGATTGTCAACGATCTCCGCCGGTGCTGAACTAAAAGGCTGGATTCACCCTTGCCTCAAGCATAATTTTTTTACAAGTGTAACACCATTTAAATATTATAATAAACATAACATTATATATTAAAATAGAGATTTTTTTCTATTCAAAATATAGATGTTTTTCCTATGAACATTATCTCATTTCCTTAAAAATTTAAAAAATTTCTGCATCAGTTACTCCGTTTCTTTATACTTCTACAAAGTCTTCGTATAATCAAGAGATAATTGCAGCAACGGTACTAAATCTTTTATTTAATTACAGACTTTGCTCAAACCTTTAATTTGTATCACCCATGATATCAAACTTTTCATTTGTGCCACTCAAGGTACCAAACATTTTCAAAATGTTGCAGTTGAAGTCGAAATGGATTATTTCTATTAGTTTGACCATTAGTTAACCAAATAATTGACTTTGACAATAATTTTGACTAATTTTAAAATGTTAAAATTGTAACTTTGCATTTTTTATAATAAAATAGCTAAAATCAAATAATTAAAATTTAAAACCCAAAAATCAACTTCATTTTCTCCATCCATCCCTCACATACCCACCCCCACCCCAAAACCATCACTACTATTGCTACAAGTTGGATCATCCACGACTTCTCTTTCTGAAAATGGATGCTGCAAAGCAACTTGTCAAGATAATTTACTACAAGCATAGCAGTCAACGCTGAATACCCATAAAAAAAGTTTGACTTTCAAGATCCATTCCACTGCATCTATGCGTGCCTGCAGAGAAAGAGGAGCATGTTCCATCGACAAATATGTCATTTTCTTTGCAGAAAAGAGATTTCAGATCTTCATCTTCCCAAAACAAATCTTGTTCTGTTAACAGATTAGGAAAATTTAACAGATTTCCACCATTAAAGTTGAAATTTTCACTCCCTTCTTCAAATTCTCCCCATTTTTCTTCTTCACTGAAAAGGGAATCAAGCAAGGAGGACTGAACATTTTCTTCTTGAGTCTTCATCTTTATGGGTTTTGTTCATTGTTCATAATATAGTACAGAAAAGTAAAGGCAACACCAACCAAGCCCATGGTCGCCATTTGTGCAGAAAACTACATTTAATTTGTAAAATTGATTTCAGAAAGTAGAATTCGTTCATTTGGTTGGTGGTGAGTAGATGTGTAGTTATTGATTACGGTGGAGGAGATGGTAGTGGTGACAGTGGAGGAGATGGCAGTGGTGGTGATGGTTTTGGGTTGGGGGTGGGTATGTGTGGGGTGGATGGAGAAGATGATGTTAATTTTTTTGTTTTTAATTTTAATTATTTTATTTTAGTTATTTTACTATAAGAACATAAAATTATCATTTTAACCTTTTAAAATTAGTCAAAATTATTATCAAAATCAATTATTTGGTCAACTAACGGTCAAACTAACAAAAACCATTCATTTGGACCTCAGCTACAACATTTTGAAAAAGTTTGGTACCATGTGTGGCACAAATGAAAGGTTTGGTACTATGTGTGATACAAATTAAAGGTTTGGGCAAAGTCTGTAATTAAATGAAAGGTTTGGTACCGATGTTGCAATTATCCCTATAATAAATGTTCAATAGACTTGAATTTGAATTCCTTGAACTCTCAACTGATTGCATAAGGAAGAAAACATACACTTCTACATGTTTCCTCTCTTTATGGATCATTCTAGACGTCTTTAATGTCATGATTTCAAAACTATGTCCTGGTGAGGATAGTAATAATTAGGAGAGCAAAGTATCTCCTATTTTAGTTTATGAGTACTTACATTTTTCTTGGTATTGAGAGTGCTTCAGGGACTCTGTAGATCTTCATAATATGATTTTCTTTTCAACATTAATGAATACTGAGAATTTGTTCCTTCATTCAAACAAATTCTCTCGCAAAATCCCGATAGAAATTTTCAACCTTAAAAAACTTTCAATGTCGAATTTCAATGGTAATAGCTTGACGGGCTTCCATTGCTCATTGTTCCCACTTGAACATAAGCCCCTACTTTACAAAAACAACAAACTCCTAATTCACAATTCACAACATCAAGAAGCAAAGAACGAATCCTTAATTCACAGAAACAAGAAGCAAAGAAAAAAACAAGAACCCATGCATCATATAGAAATTCAAAATACTAAAAGGGTAATGAAAAAAAAAACCATAACCTAAGATAGAAAGAAACCTGAAAAAGAACTCTAGTAAATGTCAGATTCTGAATGAAATTTTGCCTCGCCTGTTGTTGGTTCTGCTTTATCAATGCCTCTTCAATTTCCTTTCACAGTGATTGAATAGGTTTCGGACTAAGCAAAATTTGGACCTATTTATTTTTTATGAGGCCTCTTGATTTTTGAGGCCTAAGGCAGTGACCTTGTTTGTCTTGGGCTAGGGCTGGCCTTGAGTGCAATTTAGTTTAATGATTCAGCAAGAGATGGATTGGAGAAATTTGAGGTACTCTCACTAAAATGGTATTCGATGAAAGGCTTAGACAATGGATGATGCAAAATGTTCCTATGAGACAGATTTCTAGTTATTTATCTTCTCCTCTCGGAATTCTTCAATATGTGCCTCATCTACATTCTGAATCGCAATTTTTTACAAGTAATATCATATTAAAAACTTAAAAAGTTGGTACAAAGGGTGAAAAAGTATTGGTTGAGTCATTCAATCACTGACATATTAAGACAGTTTTGTTGTAAATATTTTTTTTTTTTTTTTTTTTTGAGTGATGCTATGTGTACAATGGGGAGTTTGAAAGATTTTACGGGGGTACTTGGCTATTTTCATTGGTTGTTAAAAAAAGGCAATCATACATGTGCAGTGAACGTATGTACACTGTGTGAGTTATTCCTTCCTTCTTCCCATTTTCCATTTTTTTTCTTCCTTCCCTATGGGTGTACGGTATACCATGATTTCTTGACATATAGTTTTAAGGGATTTTTGTATCTAGGTAAGAGGATCTTCAATACTCTCTCTATTTTTAAATAGTATATTCTACAATTTAGAGAGTTTCTATAAATTTGAAAGAGTAAAATTTTTAAGTACTCCAACATATTTAACACTTAATTTTACCATTCTCAAAAAATATTTATTATTTTTCCTATCTTTTATTTTCATCTGCTTTCCTTCAAATTACTATATTATTTTCATCTATTCAAAATTGAAATACTTTGAATGCATTTAATTATAGAGAGTGAATTTTGCTCTTCAAATTTGGAGAATCAAACTCACTCTCTTAATTTAAAAAAGTATCTTTGAGCATAATTTCAAAAATTATCTCTTTAAACTAAAGAACATTTTGTGTTCAAAGAGTCTCTTAGATATACTCTAATTTTTATTTTATTTTTTATCAAAATGAAATTTATCTCTCATCAAATTTTTGTTTAATTTGGCAATTGAGTCATGTAAAATATTTGTAGTGCCCTTCTTATTAACATGTCCTGTATCCAAAGTTGACAAGGAAGACCAAAGCGTCTTGATTGAAAATAACTCATGAAGCTATGACTCTTATCCCGTATGTCAAAGTTTAACTACGATATTTTTCTATGAATCATATACATTCCTATCGGGCGACATTTGGGTTTAGCGCGTATTGTGTCATAACAGACACCGACACTCCAACAAGTGACATGAAAATGTCGTATTTTTTTTTATCTATATTTAAAAAATTTATAACACTCGAGGGATATTTTAGGACATTCTTTGAGAAAGTATTCGACATAACATGTGATATCCTATAATCTTATACTATATTAAAGAAGGATAGCTGCACAGTATTCCTGCCTAAGATGTTGCCCCAATTTCCCGCCCAAGGGAAGGAAAAAAAAAACACGTAAGTTGCAGACCAAAAGGCACGATCCTGTCCATCTCCGGTCGGCAAGAGCCCATATTTGCAGTCGAGCCGCTTTTGAAATGGAGTTCGAATCACGCTGCATTTCTCACCTCAACTCTCAACCGGCGACGACGCTCTCCTTTCCATCTCCGATCTGCGCCTTTTATTGAAATCGATGAATTCTTCTCCATTTTGTATCATGTTTTTATATTTTAATTTTGTGTTCGTCCACATTTGGCCCATCGCGTACCGTGTTTGCTTTTTTTCCTCTCGAGGTTGACATCTTTTCACAGCTGGAGACATGAGTGGAGGAATTGAGGTGAAGAGATATGGAGAAATTTGGTGAAAAAAAAAGGAGGCAGATGCGGAGGCAAAAACTCCGCACGCGGAGGCTTTCACCCTCCGGAGGCTGGTGAAAGCCTCTGCACGTGGAGGTTCCAAAAAGATCCTCACCTATTTTGTACATCTAAATCCAGCAGTTACTACCGTCCCACTTCCAGAACTAGATTCCTTCACTATAAAATCACAACCCGATTTCAATGG